GTGTAAAAATCATATTTCTTTATGTACCTGTATATCTTTCGTTATCTCTGTATGTTCAAATTTGTTTTGAAATCTTGTGTTTTCAAGGCCGGGGGCATGTTTGCGCCCATCCTTGTCCAAACGCGTTTGTTACGTGGTTCAGGCTTTACTTTGTAAATCCGTCAGACGGCCCTTAACCACTACTCTTCTGGCGGATCTGAAGCCTGAATCCGTAAGAGCGCACTCATTCGAAAGTTCTAGAACCATAAAGTTTAGTTTACTGTCCTTGTAACGTTTTATTCCAATCCTGTGAAGAACTTGCAAGTGTTCTAAGAAAATAGATACAGTCCACTCCAGCGAATTACACTTCAGCGTAAACGACAACCGACCGCAAATATTGGGTTAAAAAGGGTTGCAAGCGCGCACAGACTTACTTAGCAAATTTATTTTTACATAATATAAAAAAAATATTTTTAACAAAATCACATGGATTGCACCATTGCAGTAATTCAGCATGCACTTAAGCAGCGATATTTGCTGCTAAAATTACTAAGATTACCGGTAATAGATTATTTATTGCACAATTACAAACGGCTAAGCACAAGCAGTAAAATTTTATGAAGAATAACTAGATTTTAGGCAAATTAGTTTTATCTGTTGCGTTGATTTTAGCAGATCACTCTACATCTTCACAATTGAGCGCCATCCCAAAGATTTCAACATTAGAAAACCAATTTAGATAACAAGAAATAAGTCGCTTGAAATTAGAGAGCTAAAAATCTGCAATCAATTATACTGCCAATCAAAATAATTAGGCAGAAAACCATTCCGTATGATTTTACGATTTTCAAAAACGGTTTAATACTCTCAGAATACCAAACTGAATTTTAAAATAAAATGTCCGCTCTTTCTTTGGGCTTTATAGGCATAAAAGTGAAACCTGAAATTGCCTCAAATTAGCAATGTTTACTTTCAAGCAGCAATTTCAAAATCACTCGTTAACATTTGTGATTTTGTTTTTTAGTACATTTCTTATGTTGACTCACTATATTTGCTAATTGCGATTTACGCATCAAAAGTGCTTTTTGCCAGAGGTAAAAAATTCAACTCATTCAAACTTTGTCATTAAAAAAACATTCGCAATCAGTTAGCTTTAAAAAGCAAACTTCCCACATATAAACAAACACCTGATAAAGCATAAAGAAAATTATTATGAAAAATTAAATTGTTGCCCAATTGAATAACACCTTATTTCCCCATTCATGTGCTGGTGATGCTGCACATTCCACCATTTATCAAAACAATAGAAATACTTTAACTGTATGTATTATCTGAAAATACGTTCCTGATAAGTAGGTACTTCATGTATAGGTATTTCAGGCTGTTGCTACTGCACTCAGTGCGGTCGTGTTAATGGGTTGGCTACCAAATTTATAAACATTTTATCGTAGAGTCTCCTGCTAAAATGAGTTCAATTCCGGAAATCGAAACTGTAATTCAAGGCATAGATGGTACGATTAAAAATGTGCAAGTCAGCCGATTAACCAAACCAGGCGAAAACTACCTCAGTTTGGTGTATCGGGTGGATGTGGAGGTGGAGAAGAATGGAAAAACTTCAACCATTAACGCAGTGGCCAAATGTCTTCCATTGACGAAAACCGCGTTGGATTTCAATGCATTCTCCATGCGAAACGAAATTAAATGGTACTCAGAAATTTTGCCGTTGATCAAAAACTTTGGTTCGGAATATGGTCTAGAGACTGATTTTTATCCCGAATACTTGGGCTCACGGTATAGCTTGGATCCCACTAAGACTGAAATTGATAAGGACTCTGCTTTGTTGATGAGGAATTTGATTCCTGATGGTCAGTATTAATTCATATTATTTACATTTTTTAAGTGCAGAAATGTAGATGCTTGTTTCGCGCTTGGAGGAGAGTTTTAGAATCAAAAACCCTTACAATGGGCAAGTACAAGTAGTAGAGTTTACAGCAGAATAGAAATTGTTGGTCACAGACGAGATCTTCTCAACATAAGCCATAATTTTCGTTTATTTTCAGTCCGGAAGGTCTATGGTGTTTTTTTTATGCATTTGTTGGTATCAAGATGGTATAAAATTTTAACACATTTTGGGCGATCTTAGATTTTTCGAGGAAATAGTTTTTCTCGAAAAAACACTCAATTTTTTCGGAGAAAATCAACTTTTCACATTTGTGCCTTTTGTGCTCAATGTATTGTTTTCGACCTGAGAAGGTCCAGAATATGCATATACACGGTGTTTGAGTCTTTAATAGAGAAGATATCGGGGACGAATAATAGAACCGGTCAACATTTTCCAAAAATTTCCATCCTTTGGATTTTTTTGGTCCTCCTGAATGAATCTCAATTAAAAACAGTTGAAAAAAGCGGACCTGTTTAAGGTTGGTATGCAGAATTAGGAAGAAAAAACTTGATGAGTTTGATAAAAAGGTAGTATTGAAAATCTACCCGCTCTATTACGTACTCGTTTTCCCTCCTTTTGACTTCAGCGGATCATCCCTTAAACTATACAAACAGAAAATTTTTAATAGAGTGCAGCATTTCTACGTGACATAACTTATTAATTACTAAACTTGGAGATTTTATTTTCCTTCTAAAAATCCCATGCACTTTCAGGCTACAACAATGACGACAGACACATTGGCTTTGACCTGCCCAGCGCCAAAGTACTGCTAAAAGCCTTGGCAGCTTTCCACGCAGCTCCCTTAGCTCTTAAGTTCAAGAAACCCGACGTGTTTAAGCAACTTAAGTATTATCTGGAAAACACTCGTCCTCCCATGCCACCTGGAGGACCGAAAGGCCCTGGAGAACCCGGAGGTCCTGGAGGTCCTGGAGGGCCTCCAAAAGGACCTCCTGGTGGTCCAAAATATCCTCCTGACAAGTTGGTTTTAGACCAAATGCTTAGCATTCCTCAATGTCAACCTTACTTGGCTAAAATCGAAGAAGTAAGGAATAGACCCAGTCTTTCGCCATTCGATCAGGGGCCTATTAGAGAACCATGGAGCACCATAGTGCATAGTGACTTTTGGGTGAATAATGTTATGCTGAAGAGGGATGAAGGCAAAGTTCAAGTGAAGATCGTTGACTTCCAAATGTGTTCTTATGGATCTTTTGCAAAAGATTTGGTGTTTTTCCTTCTATCTAGTGTGCAGGATAGTATCCAGCAAAACAATCTAGATGAACTACTCAGGTTGGTGCAATGGAAACCAGCTCCTTGCTATGGCTAATTAATAACATTTGCAGGTTCTACTATGAAGAATTAGTGGCAGTTTTAGACAAAGTGGGCGTGCCTGAGCTGAAGCTCACCTTTGAAGAATTCCTGGCGGAAGTGAAACTTGAAGCCAACAGTACAGAGGTGTTGCATGCACTGTTCTTCTCCACGATTGTGTTTGGCGAAAAAGGAACAGGGCCGGATCTGTTAATAGGTGAAGGTGACATGATGGAACATATGCATTTAATGGTAAAAAATATGAACGCACGCCAAAAAGAGAAGCTAGCAGTAATTTTTGAAGTGGCTGTATCCAAAGATTGGATCTAGACATATTTAATTAAGTAATTTAGATTAAATTATTGAATGTTGAGGACTTTATTTGGTCAGGCACTTGTAGGCAGGTACATGTTCCAAGTTGATTACATAATTGTGATATCAACCACATAATTGAAAAACAGGAATTATGTACTTAATTTGTTATGATATATGAAAGAGATTATGTATTAATAAAGAAAGTAGTTTATGCAGTTTTCATTTTTGTTGCAAAGCCTCAATTGAGAAATATTTTAAGAAATTAAAGAGGTGTTTTTTCAACTTTCTTGCAGTGGATTATCGGTTGTTCGTGTTAAAATTAATATTTATCAAAAATATGTTTTATGTTTATTTGGGACATTTTATGATATGCTAAACTAACTGTCTTAGCTATGTTTAACGGTTTTCAGATTATAAGCAAATATTTAGAAGAAAATTGATAAGGTTTTAAATTGCTTTCGAATCTGTTTTACAATATAATTCATGTGATTTATATTTTAATGTGAAACCTAAACATCAATGCAAAGACATTCATCCAAAATTTCAAGAAGTAACATTGCTATGTTATTTCTTGTGGGCATATTTAAATATATCAAAAATAAATATATTAGCAATTTTTTTTCAAAGTTCATGGTTTGATTTGTACTACGTGAGGTTTCATACCAAGAAAACGACTCGTGGAAATTACAACAAAGAAAAGTTTTATTGGCATACATTACATTATTTAAGAAATCTACTCAGAAGTGAAAATTCTCGTTCGGTTGGTTAACCATTTACCCATTAAACCCATTTGAAGTCAGGTAATTTTGATGCAAGGCTTTTTAAACGCATTCTGAAACTTGGACTTCCGCAGTTAATTCATAAGGCCGATATGTCATTCTTAAAAGCTATTTAACTTTAGAAAATAACCATTCTTCTTTGAAATATTGAATAGTTGTTAACGCCCACAAGCATATTGCTTAACATTAGTCGGTATAGATGTTCTCTAAATATGTTATTTTGCTGATTTTAAAATTCATAAATCATTCGCTTTTATCATCAAAATTCCATAGAATTTCGCACTGGTGCGTCAGTTTTAAATACACTCATTTACCACTAACCTTTTTGAAACCCGCTGACAATTTTGAATCAAATATGGATTAATTGTGGTCAATCAGCCAAAAAAACTATAAAAATCTATTTGAAAGTTTGTGTGTATAAAAATTAAAAACATATAATACGAAAATCGAAGTTCTAAAAATCGTCCAAAATTGATTTAATCATATGCGTAAATAAATTAGTTTCAATTTTTTAACGCCGCTTTTCTCAATAAAAACCATAATACTTCCTATTGACATTTTGAACGCAAAAATCCGTCTTAGAAGTTCACATTTTTATGTGTAATTTATGTAATCGCTCCTAGTAATATTGAATCAAAAATAGGCCACTAATGTGGAAACTTATTTACTCACTTGATAGAAATTCCATTCCAGTCAAGAAGGAATCCACAGCTCTTTCAATACCATGGTATCACTGAAATATCACTGAAAGTCCTTTTCCGCGGAAGATTGCATTTTAATAGCACAGTTTTTTTTGCAAAAAAGAACTGCAAAAGTGCACAATGCTCGAACATCTATTACCGAAATCTATCGGCAAATATTGATTCAGGCAAATAAATCTACAAAAATCCGGTTTTGTTTACGTTTCGTATTGTAAACAAGTAAGCGGTTTGGGATCCAACATTATTGTCCCTATTAAAATGAGTTTTCCATACAGGTTTGATCGCCAACGAAAGGATTCACTCGCGAGCAGAAAAGGCACACCGCTAAAACCGATTTAAATATAGGGTGGTTAAAATAATTGAAGAAAAATTGTAATGTATTTTTTTCGGCTTCCATAGTGCAAATAACTTGACCACTTGCCGCACTAATGTATTAGTTAATTGCAGGTTCTACATAAAGTATCAAGTGGTTAATGCACAGTTATTGACTCCAAGGTAAATCTAAGTTTAATACGCCTCCTTCAAAACTTTTACTATTAAAGTTTAATTGTACTTAGAAATTAGAGTTTTAATATATGTAAGTATATGGTGGTATAGCTTCAATCGCTCAATCATTCAAATCAACCTGTGACTTGAGTAGTTTTTCAGCAAAATCATGTGTTTAAGTTAATTATAAATTATAAGAATACTTTTGATGGTTTTTGTATGTATCATATATTCATTTCACATCTTTGCAGTAACAGCTTGCAAAAAGAAACCTTTACTTTTTACTAAAATTTACCTGCGATATTTTGCTATGCAAAAATGTCATACCTTACGTGAAAAGCAATGAGAGGCAAATAACTTATTTATATAATCTATCCGTTTGCTGAACCGTAAGGGCGCCATTAATTAAAACTCAAATCCAGGGTTTCTAAGAAAAAGTGGCAATTAATTTGATTTTAGGGTCAACAAGAAAATGTATCTCGACATCTGTAAATTAGTTCCGACTTTTTAACTAAAAATTAAAAATTTAAAAAGTTTTTAACTGTGATTCAAAAACCAAGCTGTTAAAAGGCTCTTGATCTTCACTAATATAAACCAGTATTTACTTCTGCAATATTAAAAATGTTTCACTTGGTAAGATATTGGAAATCGGTCTTCGGCTGCCTGATAAAAAAACAACATTTTAATTAACATCTAGTACAATAGTATTAGGATTTGCACATGAAAACATGCAAATCCAATTAACAATAAAAATCGATTAAAAAAGAAAAAAGGTTTAAAAATAAAAGCAGCAAAATAATAATAGAAATACCCGACATACCTCCAAACACCTCAGAAGCAATAAACCCCATCCAGAGCACCAGGAACACTAAGACACACTTCATGGCAACAACAACAGTCAAGGAAAAATTTCTCCTGCTTTTGGAAATGCCGGTTCCACGAGCGCTTTTCCTGCGCTTTTGTGGCGAGCCAGTCGCTTCGTATTGTCGAATCGACGGTATGAGAAAAACTGCTGCTTAGTTTCTCCTGCTCTTGGTCCAACAAGTTGCTTTCAATTCCTGGTCCGTCGCAGAGTTGAGTTTCCTTCGCCGCAAAACTTTGAACTGCACTGACCATGTGGAGAATACGTAGTAAACTTTAGGAGTGAAAGAAAATTCAGTCCAGGAACAGCAAAGTAATAGTCGAACGTTAGCAGGAAAAATCCTCAATTTATATCCTCCATGAGTGATTCAATAAGGAAATGTTATTGAATAATTGGAATGGTTGTTTTTTTCTGACTTTCCAGGATCAAAGCAAATATGAGCGGTCCGTCCAAGGCCCCACACCATTTTGCTTAGTTTCACTTTGGCAAAACAATTCAAATGCTGAAGTTTCCTATACATAATGGGTTTTCTTGAGTGGAAAAAATGTTATTTTATTATTTGAATATTAAAACTTAAATATTTTATAACTAGAATAGTAAAACTTCTTCTGTCCGACTTCATTTAATGACCCAGAAAATCCAGACATATTTCCCAACAGGCAGAAACGTTCATCATAACTAAAAGAATACTTATCGTAAGTTTTGTTTATAAATGATAGTATTTCTAAACTCTTAAAATTTTAATTGACTTATTTTTGTATTTTGGCATTTAATAAAATCTGAGGAAAGGGCATTTTAAATGTTCCAAGCTAATATTAGCTAGAAATGGAAATTTGGCAAAGGGATACGGCGATATATAAATAAAGCAGGAACCAAGTCTAGGGTTGAAGCAAAGACTTTTTTAATCGCAAGTATTAGAAAAAATACGTCGATATTAGCGCAAATAAGAGAAGTGATAGATGTATTTGTTTTAATTAAATGTTCGATAATATAATTTTACCCGATAATTTAAACTATTAAATCAGTATACAGTCATGGTACAAAAAATACATGCATACATATAGTTTGGTCATTTGTATATGGTCCATATCGCGCGCAAAGGAAAACTGTTCAATAATTTATTTGGTAAAAAATTACTCATAAATTGAAAACCATCTGTTCAATCCACAGATAGAATAATATTAGTCAGCGTTTAAAAAGTTTTGGTACAGACATAAATTATACAGTAATAATATGTAAATATAACAGTTAAACAAAAATATGCACAGTGCGTCCAACAAAAGCATAGTAAGTAAGCTCTTGCCTTATAGTTTGCGATTTAAAGTGTCGTGTATACAAAAAGCAATACACCAAGTAGATTCTACTACATATAGGATCTTGAAATAAAAAATAGACTTATCTAAATAAAATACTCTCCAGGCTCCAGGCTTCAGGCTCCAGATTGTAGAAATACTCCAGTTCCGAATATTTAGTTTGCATTTAAGTGCTTATGATTTTTCTGAAATTGATAACGTTAATAGTTTCTATACAGTCAGTATTTGATAGCTTTTAATCCAAAAAAAATTAAAAGGCAGCTATGGTATCTATAACTTTGTTTAAACTATGTGGTTTCATAAATGAAAAACTTCGAGCAAATTTCCAAATTATACAAAAGTTAAATATGTAAGAATTCTTTAGAGTTTCTTGGATATTCGTTCAATTTTCGTATATTTATAACCGAGTTTTTGGTGAATCACATTTTAAAAAACATTGGTATTCAATTATGTATATCGTTTTTGTAAAAAAAAATTTGTAAACAGAGCATTTTATTTAAAATTGCTCTCCAGCTTTCCGTGAAAAAATTTAGTTCCTTTTTCATAATCTTCAGATACCCTAAATGTTTCTTAAAATCACAACCAAGACCAGTCGATGCTCTGCGAAAAGCTCTTCAAAAACCGTAATCGATGGAATAAGAAGATCGTGGTCTGCTCATTCCGTTTCTCTAAAGCCCGCTTAGTGAATAGTTGCTATGACTTAGCAAAAAGCTGACCAATTTACAAAAAGTTACCACACTAAAAGTAAAAACTTTAACGCCTGAAGTTAAAAATAAATTCTTCTTGCAACGATTGTAAATAATTTTGGGAGTTTGAGGAGTAATCGCGTTTCTCACTAATTATCGTGCTCTCAGAACGACAGCGAATTTAAATTTGAATGTTGTTGGTTTGTGTGAGATAAAGTATGGAGTCAAAAAACGTACGTGTTATTTACTATAAAGTATCCTGATAATCCCATAGTGGAATCATGTGTCAGTAGAATGTTTTATAAGTTTGATCAACCGTATAGGATTTACTTAACGTTACTTAACAGCTTAGACAGAGTTGAAGAGCAAAACTCTGTAGATCATGACTTCAATCAGACGAAATCCACAAAAGAAAGCAAAACTTTTGTTGAATAGAATCCTTCTGAGAACCGAAATGTGCAACACTCTAACGGGGCAACTCTACTTAGGAGATTAAAAGCCAATGTCTTCAACACATAGCACTTTAGTGTATTGCATGTCCTACTATAATCCATATTTTATTAAAAAAATTGCTCAATCGAGCCTACACGAGAAATGCACAGCTCTGGATTATCCTATATCTATAAATTGGCCAATTTTGAATATATAACCTTTTGAAATCGAATTCCAACTTAGAATGGCTCACATGGGCAATATAAATTATCGTAAACGACATCAAGGAGATGGACCTGGTCTTTTCTATTCAACGACCCCATCTAGAATGTTGAATTAAAGTTTCAAGATGACGAGAAAAGGAAGCTCGAGTGGCCGACAGGCCATAAGAAAATAATTGTGTATTCGACCCTTTTGTCTCAGAGTTTCCCGTTCTATTGTCCGGTGGGATAAAACCTCAGTTTTTTCGAACAGTCGACAAACAAACTGGTGAAAGAAACACGTTACTGGACATTGTTCCGTATAGCATTGCAGTTTCTGTATTGTAATTTACTTGAAAGCAATATATTTTACTAGTCAAGTGTTGAAAAATACTTGAAAAAAGAGAAAGTTAACAAACTTTTTAATTTCCACTCACGCAAAGTCAGTTTCTTACCTCAAACTTCATCTTGAAAATCCTCCAAAATTAAATTGCGAGGTTTCAATAGGGCCACGCGATGGAACTTATCGCTTTGGTACTTCTTCTGAATCGAATTCAGTTGCTTCCTGCCACTATCGACTAAACTCTGTTGTTGCTTTTGAACAACTGGACTCAGGTGTTTAATGCTATATCCGCAATGCCGTTTAAATTTTTTCGGCCAACTCGGTTCTTCGCATATGGTAAATCTTCAAGGATAATAAATTCATTGAGCTAAGGCTGCTTAAAACAAACAGATGCTGAGGTTTTAAAAATCGCAACACACATCGGAGTTCAAAAAATTAGTTAGAGACTAGAGGCAACAAAATGTCTTGGGACGCCAAGCAAATTTTTTCAAAAATTCCACTCTAATCTGCCCAATGCTGGTAGATTTTTAAGCAGTGAATATAATCTTTTTTAGTCAATATTTTGTTATGTAATGTCAGTTTTTATTAAATGATGCTATCGATGATTAATTTGGTCCTTATTTTCGTTTAATTATCTGTTTGAATCTTAATAAAGACATTGCTTATTTCTATACGGTATTTAAAATTTTATCAGTTCAGAATACTTCTATTTGTTCCATTATTTTAATAATATTATAAATTAGATAATAAAGTGGTTAAATGTTATGTTCTCTACCGAATAGAATTCTTCAATGGATTAAGATCTACCGAAATGTGTGTTTGGCGTAACAAAATAAACGTGCGTGTTGCGAAAGTTCAAAAATCTGAAGGAAAAACCTTTTGGCGTGATTAAAATATGAACGATTTACATTTACCTGGCTAATGCAACAGATGCTGCTGCTAATTCGGAAGGCAGATGGTTCAAGTATTGATCACCTTCCAGCAAAACGAGCTCGCCGATATACTGTAAATTAAGAAAAAAGACAAGTTTAAAACGCTTTTGCCATCTTTGATAATTTTACCTTTGCAAAATGTTGAATTTTCGAATCTAGTTCGTGTTCCTTGCAGAAATGCTCAATTAAGCAATCTATTGTGGGAGGTTGCATCTTGAACCTAATAAATATAATTTTTTTTTAACGCTGAAAACATTTTTGAAACACTTTTTGCACCTCAGCCGCTTTACGATCATTTGTTCCATTTTTTTCACTTGGCGCGTAGTGAACGTTTCGTCTGTTAAATAGACGCAGTCCTCCAGTTTAATGGGATGGATCTCTTCAATTTTGGTTGCTAAAAGTAGCGCTGCTACTCCAAGAAGTTGAAATTTCGATTTTATCTATAAAAAAAAGAGAAATAGTATGAAATCAAATATTTCAATAAATTTACTTTATATCTAATAATGTTGATAAATGTACAATCCTTAAGCAAATTTATATTAAAATCCCGCAATATGCAAATATTTATGTTTGAACTTCTTTGCTGAACTCAATCTGATCAATTTTCATAATCATTCAAAAAAGGAATTTAGTGAGAATAATTGGAGAATAAATTAAATTCAAATGATGACTATGAAATACGAGTTTCCTTATGAAACTATGACGTGCAAAGAGAACTTTATTTAAAGTTTAGTCGTCAATAGTTTCATTACAATTATTACTAATTCTCGAACTTTGCAAATTAAATTAGTTGATTTACCTTTTTTTTAATGCAGTACTGTATAGTTTATACCGTTTTTGACTTCTGAGGAAAAATTACATTTTTCGCACATCGCCTATTCGTTTTAATACATGCCCATAATATAAAGCCCATGATAAATTTGTAATTTAAATGATCGATTACCTACGTTTAAAATACCTTGTTTCAAAAAAAGTTCAAAGTAATCTAACTTTTGAATTAATTAACCGATTTTAATATTTTTGTAATTTGCAACTTAATTCATTGGCGATTATCTCCAGGATTGTTATATTATAAAATTATTCTTATCTTCTACATCTCAAGAAATGTTAGTTATTTCCTTTCCATGACAAATAACAGAGTGGCTCAATAAACATTGCGTCAAGTTTCATATCATTTTTTTGGGTAAAATGTAACCAATTCCCGCAAAACTGCATCTCGTTTTGTTGTTTTGTATTGAAAGATTTCAAATTTACAATATATTCACTGACTATCGTGTGTCTTACATTTTCGTTTTTTATAAAGCTGAAAAACACAAAAAGACAGCATAAGAACAGCACAACAAGGGAAACAAATACGTAACAGGGTGTTAGTAAATATTGAGAAAACATGCCTCAGAGTTTTCCTTATTATTTGTAATGGAAAGTAACAAACTCAATTTCCTACGCTTGTAGTAATAAGGAGTGAATTAAACTAAATACTAAAAAAAATATATGAAAATCCGTTAAATGGCAAAAATGTTTGAATATTTTGAAATTTTCCGTTGAAGCCGTCACTTCTGTATTCGTAAGTTTTTAGTCTTCTAAAAAAATGCGTGCATATTTAAATTAAATTATTCCTTGCGAAAAACTTCACTTGTCATGATATTTACAAGTAACTTTCTCGCACCTAGATAAAACGCTCCTGTACTTTCAATATTTGTTCCTTGTTGAAATGGAAATGTGTAAACAAAATGCAATTTAAAAACATAGAAAAAATGTTAGTGAATTAAATTGATGGTAATCTTACCACTGAAGCTCCGCTTAAAAAGCGATCAATATAATTGATGCTAAGATGAAAAGTTTCATTACGAAATGTATATGCGCTCATGACTGAAGCCAACCAGTCCACTAGAATGCTTCTTATATGCCACGATAGCTGAGGCTGTTTGCTCATATAGTTGGGTAGAGGTTGATATGATTTTTCCAGTTCTAGTAAATAGTTCCAAATATCCTAAAACAATGCAAAATATTTGATGAACTAAAGGAGTATGGAGTTCCGAACTCACATTCGAATACACTTCTTCATTCTGCCTTCCAGTTTGAATTGCTGTACAGGTTTCAGATTGTACGGCATCCTCAGATAACTCAGGAAATTCGAAAACTACTTTTATAGTTTTGCGTAATCGAGGCTCTTCCTAAAAATGATTAATAACAAATGCAAGGTTAGCTCGAAGCAACCAGATACTTATCTATCTGTAACGTTGATAAGTTCTTCGTATAACGTACATTTACTATCATATACAAATAAGTATTAAATATTTTTCTTCTCATGAAACTCACGCTTTTGTGTCGCCACATTTTGAACATCATTAAATTAAAAATTAAATCAAATTGCAAAGTATGTAAAGAAAATAGACATGTAATTTTACATTACATACTAAGAAATGATCAAACACTTAATTTAATTTAGACATTTTCCAATAATAACTAACCAATTTGAAATAATATTGTTATGAGTTGTTCTAGGTGATTTGCTAGATTTAGTGGTAAATGTACCTATCGCATCATAGGACACAAATTTAAAGTATTTTTTTCAGAAATGTGCAGTAACAAAAGGAAACTCAGAACTGACTGAAAATAAATAGAAATTACCTCTGAGCTTTTGTGTAAACTGTAGTTTTTATTCCTTTTTTTTTGCTTTGCAGTTCAAAAAATTGTATGCTTTTTAAATTCAAGAACATAAATTAAGCTTAGCAAGTTATATGAGATATACAAAATGTTCAAATGGTTAAATAATTATTATATTGTCACTATACAAAGTACATAATTGAAATATTATGCCTGGTCACTTAAGAATTAATTTTACATCATTGAAGAGAAAAATTATGGCCTTTTAATAACTCGGTTGCAAATTTAGTTTCGCATAAAAAAATGTAACTTTAATCATCTCCTCCTAGAAGCCACTTTTATTATCACCAACAACTATCTACAACTTTTGAACTTGCAGATTTTAGAGGCCATCGATGATTAAAAAACTATAAGCTGTTCGATTTTGATTAAACTACCCGATGATTTTCTGCTTCTCTGCCTTCTTCAGAACATCTATTTATGTATCTATAGATTTTTTTTTCTTCATCATCTGCACGATGATGAAGAAAAGCAAGAATAAAATGGTCTTGATTTTTCTCGTGCGTCTAATATGCATCTAATAGGGTTTCCCAATGAAATACAATGTAACTCCTCAAATATTTCTAACTTCATTCTTTTTTATTTCGGCTTATTTACCGTACCAAATTATTCTATAAAATCTGCGGTATCACGCGCCCTGAGCTAATCCATTAAAACCAACATTGAAAGTGTGAGTTATATTTTTGAAATCATTATAAAGGCAGCAATGTTATTTACATTGCTTTTCTAATATACAGTTCAACTTAAAAAAATGGCAGATTTTTAGTGACTTTAATGCATTGATTGAGACAAAATTATAATTTTTTTTATGTAGGAGCGTAGAAGATCGACTTGACAATTATATTTTAACTAATCAGTGATAATATTAAATCATTTACTCGTAAAGTCTAAGAATTAGACAAAAGAAACAGAATTTTTTCCAAATCATTAAATTAGAATTAAAGCAGTTTAATTATTAATTTATCAAAAAACAATTTTACATGCTGGTCCCCAGAAATAAAAATGGAAATATGAACTAGAGCTCACAAACCCAAGTAAAAATAAACATTTCTAATGTGTTACCAGAGTTTTCTCTTCATAGCTAAATTTTCTCTTCACTCCTTGGTTTACCCCATTACAAATAGGTTGCAAAACCTCTCGATTGTCAATAAAATGTTTCTGGGTTGCACGCTTCACTAATCCATTAACTTCCACTAGTTTTTTATGTTTTTCCTCTGGCTTATTTTCTGTCTCTTCCAATATTTTAAAAGTCATCTTAGGCATTAGTACTTGTGCAAAAACGGGAGCAAATTTTTGACCTTCAACGTGGAAGCAGTTTACAGCTGAAACGAAGAACTACATTCGACATTTCATTTACTCACAAAAACATGAGAGTTTTGATGTTTTTGTCATTGAACAATGCTGGTATATTTATAGGTATATAGGTATATACGAGTATATTTTATATCGGTACAGGTGGAGCTCTTTAAATATATCATCGGTACATACAGAATAATGGTTTGTTGCAAACGCGCAATTAGTATTATTTCCTTTTAGAGTAATGTTTTTAATTGGAAATAAACCAACAATCGGAACTTTGGTTGTTTGCTAGTGGTGATTAATATTCACTAATACTAAACGTTTCTACTACTAATCCAACTGTTTCTTTCTTAAGCTGATAGTTATTAAACTTTCTAAGGATATGATAAATTAATTAAAAAATTAAAATAACAGAACAAGTAGACAAAACTGCAACAAACTGAATGAAGAACTCACATACGACGTAGAAAATAGAAAATCGTTAATATATTTATTGTTGAGGAGCTGAGCGTGTGTGATGAGTTCAAATGGTTTAAGTCGGATCATGCCATTTAATTGTGAAGTGATTTCTTATTTTCAATATGCTCCATTATATTTGTTGCCCTCAAGTTTTACTTATTGGTGGTTTAGTTGATCCGTTTATCAATCACCAAATATTTCTAAAGCTTTTTTGTAGAATGTGAATATTCAAATATGCAAACTTCCAGGTGCTCCTATAAGTCTAAATTATCTAGGTTTTATATCCTCTTTACTTGTTACTTCACCTCTTTTCCCTGGTTTCTGTGCTGCAGCAAACTATTATTCTTTATTTTTATTTCCTTGTGATCCTTTTTTAACTTGCTGAACACCAAAATGTGACTTATTATAGTCATGTTTTAATAATATGTTTCAAACGAAATAAAACAGCAATAACGTTTTAAAAAGTACTTCTTTGCTACGTAATTTGCACAACTCTTGTAGGCACAAGTCAAGAGTAATGTTTAATTTAAAAAATTACCAAATATATATAAAAACCAATAAAATAGAAATTATAATAAAGAACTATGAAGGCTTTCACGGCCGGTCAGATTACATTTACAAATGTTTTCCGGGCTTTGAAGCCGTGGTCTATCGGAATTTCTTCCTGACGTTTCGTCCACAACTGCGGTGGACATTTTCAAAGGCGATGAGGCAG